GTTTGTTTACGTATTTATTTATTTAAATAGAGGTACTGGGAATTGAACCCAGGCCCTCATGCGTGCTAAGCACGCGCTCTACCACTGAGCTCTACCCCCACCCCTGTTGCTACTTTACGGCAGGAGAGGAAGGGGTAGAAATGAGTAAGGGTAGCTGACTAACCCCTCCAGTGGGCCGCCGGGCTCTTCTTTGCCTCTCCCCTACCCCACACTCATCTTCAGTTCATGTGTTGACTCTCAACAGGCCATGTAACTTTAGGCAAATTATAACCTCACTCTGGACCTCAATTTCTCCTTCAAAAAGTGAGAATATTGGGAAAAGATGACTGGTATCGCCAGTTCTACCACTGGTGAGACCAGGAGTTGATAGTTTTCTTCATCCCAACCCCCAACCCCACACACGTGCACGCACACACGCATGTGCACATGTAGAACTCTGAAATAATTTGTTGACTAAGTCACTTGACCAACTGGAACCAGCGGAAAAGCCTCTCCAAAATTTCAATTTTCCAACAGCTCATTCAGTCATTCCGCCCTGATGCAGCCCCCATGCCTGAGCTACAGACGTGGAGATACAGCTTTCCCCACGGGAGCTCGCAGCCACATCCCAGCAGGACAGCGGGCTTGTAATCAGTGAGCGGTTGATCTGCTCAGTCACACCGGCCTCTTAAACTTGGTGTGTGTCAGGACCCCTTTGGGGATACACAGTATCCAGTTGGTATATGTGCCTTTTTTTTTCCTAGAAGGAAACAAAGTGTTCATACAGTCAAGGAAATGGTCTAGAGGGAGGCCGATACTTTTCATTTTATGCTTCTCTGAACTGTTTTTATTTTTTAACAATATAGGTTTGTTTGGGGTTTTTTTGGTGGGGGGGAGGTAATTAGGTTTATTTATTTACTTTAATGACAGTGCTGAGGAGTGAACCCAGGACCTCGTGCATGCTAGGCACGCACTGTCACCGAGCTGTACCCTCCCCCTTTAACAATATGTATTATCCTCTCTACCTTTCAATAGCGGTTATGCGAGCAGTGCAATTATGGGCTGTTTTTTTTTATACTGTTGGTATTATAAGAAACTCATTAGTATCAAAATCGGCAAACACGTCAACAAAGCATAACAAATAGAAGCCACTCCTGCCTTTAGAAGGCCAGACAATAACGTGTCCTTGTTTACACTAACCCACGTATTCAGGTCACACTATTTTGCCCTCTGTCCCACATACAGTCTGTCTACGGGTATGTCCATCTGGATTCATCTGCAAAAGCAACCTTTTTTTTTCCTTCTCTCACTCTGCTCCTCATTTCAGTCTCCCCGAGCTGTGTAAATGGCTCCACGCCCAAGTCTCCAAGTCAGAGATACAAGAATTATCCTAGGCCCTTCCTGTCTCACACTCGTGTCTGATTTGGCATAAATCCAACTACATTTTCATTCCTCTTCATCCTCACTACTGCAGTTTCTCCAGCTCTTCTGTCTCCAGCCTCACCCTTTTCCCAGCCATTCACATTCCATATCAATCTCCCTCTGAATTCTAAAATATGGATCGGGTCATGTCTCTTTCCCCGTTTTAACCTCACTAACCGCTCCCAATGGCCACCTATAAAACCTGATCATTTTCTCACTCCACCTCTTAACCCTATTTTATGTTCCAAGCACCCTAGAGTATTTTTACCTCCTAGAACCCAGAACATACACTCATGCCTTCATAACTTTCTATAGGACATTTCCTATAAAACTTTTCCCTTTTATCTACCGTTAGACTCCTCCCTAAAATCCAGCTCCGGTGTCATTTTCTCAGCGCCATCCCCGAGTCCTCTGTCTAGGACTGTTTTCTTCTTGTACACTCTCAGTGATCTCTGCGTCATTCCTTCTCAGAAGTGACTATACCACTTTATAACTACCTGTGTACCAGTCTGTCTCCTCCTGCAGACTGAGACCTCTCTAAGAGCAGGGACGGGGCTGCATTTCCCCTCGGGATCTCCAGAACCGGGAACAGATTCTGGCACAGAATCAGCTCTAGGTAAGTATTTATTGAATGCTGGTTGAATTATTAAAGGCAGACCACTAATTCCTCTGCGAGGCTGCATTTCCAGCTAAATGATTCTTCACCCTGTCATCACCTCTGCCCACACCATTATGTCCAGGGGTGGAAGCATACACTCACCAAACAACTGAGTCAAACACAGACATTTCTGCGTCAGGGTCTTCGTGTCCCAGAGACACGAGGAAGGATGCACAGTGGCAGTGACTGATGTAGCACTGCGTACGCCGCCCCTGTTTCTTGCAGCGAGAGAAGAATTAACATTCACTGGGGAACCTACTGTGTTCCAGGTAGTGTGAGTGAACCTCTCCCTATGTTGTCTCGTTTTATTCTGAAACTCTGAGAGGAAAAGTTTATATTCCCCATCTTATAGAGGAAAAAACAGAAGTTTCATATTAAGTGATTTGCTAAGGTTCTCATAGTCAAGAGCACCTGCCTCCTATGCCTCTATGGCCAACTGGTTTCCAATAGGAGTTCCACGATCACTCACTGAGAAAAGAACAGTTGACAAAAAATGGTGCTAGGACAGCTGGATATCTACATGAAGCTGGATCGTGACCTCATATATGTATATATACACACAAAAAAACAACTGAAATGGATCAACTTCCTAAATACAACAGCTAAAGCTATAGGACACTTAGAAGAAGACATAGGTGTGATCTTTGTGGCTTTGTATTTACAAATGGTTTCTTAGATTTGACACCAAAAACACAAGCAGCAAAAGAAAAAACAGATAAATTGGGTCTCTTCAAAATGAAAAACTTTGTGCATCAAAGGACGTTATGAAGATAGTGGAAAGACAACTTACAGAATGAGAGTGAATATTTGTGTATCACACATCTGACAAGGCTCTAGTATTCAGAATATATAAAGAACACTTACAAGTCAACAAAAAGGACAAACAACCCAATCAAAAACTGGACAAAGTATCTGAACATACATATCTTCAAAGATACACAAATGACCAACAAGTACATGAAGAGACAATCAACATTACAAGTCATTCAAGAAATGCAAATCAAAAGCACAAGGAACGTGGGAGGTAGAGCTCAGTGGCAGAGCGCGTGCTTAGCAAGCATGAGGTCCTCGGTTCAATCCCCAGCACCTCCACTAACAAAATAAACAAACGAACAAAAACACAAAAACAAAACAAAACAAAAACAAAACTAGAAAAGCACAAGGAGCTAGCCCCTCACACCCACCAGGATGGCTACAACTCAGTAACAACAAGAAGCATAAAATAAAAAGGTTGATGAGGCTGTAAAACAACTGGCACCACCACACATCACTAGTGGGAATGTAACGTGGTTCGGTCACTGCTGAAAACAGTTTGATGATTCCACAGAAAGTTAAATATAGAAATGCTACCTGACCCAGAATTTCTGCTCCTAGACATATACCCGAAGGACACTGTTGTGGAAGCAATCCAAGTGTGTTTGGAGACCTCAGCCCAGCCGAGCACACTACAGCTAACCGACTCAGAAACAATGGGGCCTGAATTCACCTGTGACCTCGTGTGACGGCCTCTTTCCAATCTTGCAGACCAAGCGTCAGCAGCTCCTAATGTGACTGGGAGGAAGGAAAAGAGAAGTGCCAGCCACACAGTATTCCTAGGGAGTCTCAGGGAATTGTACCTCCACCGCATCTCACTGAGCCCGACATTTGCCCAGCACGTTTTTCTGCCACTGTTGTAAAACCTCAAGCACTGAACAAAAACTGGATCTGATTATTTCCTGACCACATGACCAGGCCTTTAAAAATGGATGAAATGACAGCAAATAGCTTACTATCAAAAAAACCAGCAACCGAATCAAAAAACAGGCATAAGACCTAAATAGACATCTCTCCAAAACAGACATCTAGATGGCCAACAGGCACAGGAAGAGATGCTCAGTATCGCTGCCAATTATTAGAGAAACTCAAATCAAAATGACAATGAGGTATTACCTCACACCAGTCAGAATGGCCATCATTAAAACGTCCACAAATGATAAATGCTGGAGAGAGTGTGGAGGAAAAGGGAACCCTCCTACACTGCTGGTGGGAATGCAGTCTGGTGCAGCCACTATGAAAAACAGTATGGCGATTCCTCAAAAAACTAAAAATAGACTTACCCTATGATCCAGCACCCCTACTCCTGGGCAGGTACCCAGAGAAAACTCTAATTCAAAAAGACACAGCCACCCCAGTGTTCATAGCAGCACTGTTTACAACAGCCAAGACATGGAAGCATCCCATTTGTTTGTACTTACACTGTCTTCAAAGTCTTGTTTTCGCTGCCCCCAGCCCTCCTCAAGAGATTTTAAGCCCCCTAAGACCAGATTCTATTTTTCTTTTATATGTGTCAACAGAGACAACTACGGATTATATCACACATTAGATACCCAAGGAATGGTGACCGACTGAGACAAGCCCACCTGGAACACTTCCCCAGCTAATGGCCACCACCCTACAGGCTAATTTGGTTCCTTCTCACCTTCTAGACTTGAAGTGGCAATCAGCAAACAGCAGCAGGAAAGCTAAGTCCAGCCCGTGAGCTAAGAAGTTTTAGATGTTTTTAACAATCCTTTAAAAAATGTAAAAATTCAAGACTGTGCGACCTACAAGGTCTAAAACATTTACTAGCTGGCCCTTCAGAGCACACTGGACACAGCCTGCAGACAAGGATGTGGGAAAGATGTTAACCACCCACAGGGCTTCTGGAAGCCTCGCTGGTCCCCGACGCACCTCGAGGCAACATATTTCTTTATCCTATTAATTCAGAAACTCCACTCCAAGTGCTTGATTTTGTGGATAAACCCCATGGAGCAGGCCACACACCACACTCACTGTGGGTGTGGGATAATGAGAAAATACGTAATATGAGTAGGAGGTTGTGAATGATAAAAACTGCGCAATGTTAGATAAACAAATTCCAATTCGTAGCGAAATTTCATTGAATTAAAGAGAGTTCAGAAACTGTTCTTTGCAATTTGTTTTTTAATATCTACAGTTTTTTACAAGGTTCTGTACATGAAGAAAAATGTACAGAAACAACCCATCAACTGTCTGCATCAGTAATCCTCGCTGGTGGGCTCACCATTTACAAGGAAGACATCATTCGACACAACCTGTCACAGAGACTGTCCTGCCGGCACGGACCTCGGACGGGAAGGAAGGATTGTGGCCAGGTCTGTTTGTCAAGATCCCCAGTCACTTGCAGGCCTTTACTGACCCACCAGCAACAACCCGGGAAATCAACAAACTGGCTTCAGTGAGAGTGACCAACTGCAGCCACTGCCCAGGGCCACATCCACACCCCACAAGGACTTTGACCCTGAAAGATGCAGGTACATCCAAGGCCAGAGAGAAAGCCCTGTCCACTGGCTAGTCACTGTGAAAAGCGTGCATAAGGCAATTGAGTCAGGGGTGAAGGGTTCATCTTGCTAATGTCAAAAGCGACACTAACAGGACTCTTAGCCTCATCCACCAGCTGACGGGCCTCTGCGTCCAGGTCTCCAGGAGCAGGCTCCCCCTCCTTCACCGGACAAAGGGTTGTAACCTGGGACGAGAGGAAGCAGAACAGTGCTGAGAACGTTCCGTGTCACACGTAAAGCCCTGAGCCCAACATGCAAAGTACTGCAGAGATACAGACTCTGTCCTCACGAGCATCTTCGTAAGACTCAGCTCCCACATGAAAAAAATGCTTCACATTGCAACCACCCTTTGGATTGATTTTCTGGTGGGAATAAAAGAAGCCATTTGGCTTCTTGGTTTTAACTCTCAAAACACACAAAAAAACTCCCCCAAACACACAAAAAAATTTGCTCCCCCCCCTCCAAAAACCTCTCTGGATGGCTGGATTTAAGTGTCTAAAAGATCTAACTGCAGTGCTTAATAAAATGTATGCATTAAAATAAAAACTGTTCAAGCAAAAGAAATCAGATTTAAAAAATCACAACCGAGTGGAACTGGGCACTTCTGCCAGTCAGGACTGGGCGACCCAGGGCCCAGGTCCTGCCGGTCCACCTGCTCATTCCTCCCCAAGTTAATGGCCGTCTGGGGACCAGCTTGAGTGTTCAGGCTCTAGAGTCCGATGACCCCAAATGAGGTGGCTCGGCTCCTTGCTTGCTGTGGGATCTGTGGTCACTAACTCCCTGTGCCTCAGGTGCCTTACTTGTGAAGCCAGGCCAGTCAGGGCCCTGGACTGCTAGGGGTGCCCCAGGGGGCAAACGCATGGCACACCCTGTGGGCCATTTTCTACAATTTCCTCTCCTCGACACCACCACTCAGCTCTGAAAAATGGTCTCCCGGCAAGAAGACTGAAAGAAGCATTTTCTTTTCAGACACAGGCCTCTCCTACAGCAAGCCAGCTCTGGGGTCCTAACACAAGGGGCTCAGAGCCCAGCCTTGAAGGGCAGCTCAGCCCATGTCCACTCTCCCCAGGGTTCACTCTGAGGCCATCCAGGCTCCCACCTCTGCCTCCACGGTCCCTCCCCATGGGAAACCCTCTCCTCCAATGGAGGGCAGGGGGTCTTTGGCCTACAACTGGCTCCTGGCACCTCTGTCCTCACAGGGCCGGGCGGGATCGAGTGAGGTACTGAGGTACAAGTGCAACCATATTTACTGAGGGCCTTGCGGGACCTCCTTTATTGAGGGCTGGTCGAACACTGATTTCTGTGGTGAGCGGACACTGAGGCCGAGGAGGTCCTGGGCCTCCTGGAAACAGGATCGGTGCCCACATCCTTGCCCGGGGCCCCCTAGGCAACAACTGGTCTCAGCAGGCTGGCAACTCCCTAAAACTAACTCCTTTCTGATTCCAGAGGTGGACCCCTTTTCCTTCTTTTCAGTGACCCACTTACTCTCACGAGAATGTCCCCTTATTCTCTCACAAGGGGGTCAGCAGAGCTGTTCAGATTTGCCCCTTTTCTCATGAGACAAAGCCCACGGCCCTGGAGAACAGTCCCATGTCTCGCAAGGCAAATCTATTTTTTTTTCCCACTGGTGTAAAGAACTCCATCTATCGCCAGATTCCCTCCTACTTCATTCTCAAGACTAACTCCTTTCTCTTTCCTTTATTCTCTGTTATCCTAAACTTAGGAATTAGTCTCAATTGATGGACAATGAAACAAAGACACACAACCTTGGTTTTCAAAGTAAGAGCATCCTGTGATTGTTCAGGATGCTTTGATGTTTGGTACTTACCCCCTCCCCGCAAGGGCTTTCGGTCCGATTTCCGTTTCGGGATGACGGATGAAGCAGAAGGCCCAGGGCTGTCTTCTTCCTGTTGGAACACACACAGGCTTAAGGATCTAGTTGAAAACGCTCTACTCCATGAATCTTCATGCACTTGAAGACAGTCCACTAGGCCGAAGGCTACATCACCTGAGGCTTTCTTGCATTTCCTTTGTAACTTTTTCCCTCTTGCATGCTGTCCCACATTTCAATCTTCTGTCTCCTTTTTTCCTCTTCGAGCTGTGAAGAATCATACATGGTCCAGAATGAATTCAGAAGCCACCATCTTTCCCAAAGAACATGTAACTTTGATCACTTTTAAACAACCTTCCACCTGCACTTTCTTCAGTTAAAACTGTTGTCAGCTAGTGTTTTAACTCACAAACAGGGCCATCTGTTTTTGCACACTATTAACGCAAAAAGTGTGGTCGAAAAAATAACACGGACTCAGTTCTGAAACAGGCCCACAGAGGACATTTTGATAACGTGGAAGAACTCTGACCTGGCAAGAGTCAGCATGGGTGGCAGGCCTGCTCTGCTGCTACCTGGCTGTATCACACTAGGAAAGTCACTCAATCCCTCTACTGCGAAGGCTGGGAGGACCCAATGAGAGCAGATCTGAGAGTGCTTTGAAAGTCAAGTACTTAGGGAACATAAGGGAAAACTAATCTCTCAGCAGAAAATTAGGCCCAACAACAAGCACTTGAGAAAGCTTGTACTCCGCCCCGTCACACACACAAACACATACCACACACACACATATACGCTTTACACACTAGACTCAAACTACTTCTTGAGACCATGTGTTCACACTCAAACCGGTTCACACCTGTCTCAGCTTCTCCTTGTGCTTTTCCACTTGTGCATTTAACTCCTCCTGCATTTTCAGCCGAGCAGCGGCCAAAGCCTCCTGTCGTTTAACGATGACATCAGGTTCTAAAACAGCAGAGAAAACTGGGGCTAAAGCAGCTTGTGTAACATACAATGGGAACTCGTGAGAGTCCATATTGTTAGAAGTACACAGAACTCAGACAATGCAAAAACATATGCCGAGGGACAACCTTCTGCACGTATTTTACTGCTCAGGGGACAAGGGCGACCCCATGGCCGCAGTCTCAGCCCGTGTTAAATACTGACAGCATCAGAAACCTCCACTCGAAATACATTTCCGGCCCCTGGAGCAATCCCGCCTCGGAGAGTCTGGCAAAGGCTCCGTGACTGAAATATAAGGGGTCTGAGGGCCACAGTGAGATTCCATTCCATAACCCAGATACCTCCTAACACCCAGTCTCTAGGTTGACCAGAATTCCAGAAGACAACCAAGGAGAGAGAATGTTTTCAGATCATTAGCCATCACTGAATTAGCCCAGATCTATACAAGAAAGAGGTAAAGATCTTTAGATATTTTATCCTTGTTTCTACAGAAAAAAAAAAGAAAAATCCTTCCAGCTAGCATTAATAGCAATGAATGCGCTTTTATCTAGTTTATAAAACAAAGTAAATTATATAAAAAGAGAATCTGGCATCTATTAAGACCACCGTGTTATGGAGCACTGAGGGGACCTCCCCAGGGGTGTGACTAATTTTTCAGACTAGAACTTCTATGTTCACATCTGCATCACCCAAAGGATAGGTGATCATCATTACTTACAGACTCAGTAGTGGGAAGTGGTCTCCTAACTGAATCTACATAAAATAGGGGCGAAAATGTCATGGTCAAAATAGCACAAGATACTTGTGTGTGTAACATCTGTAACTGTTAGGTCACTTTTAGAATACAGTCAATCAAGTGTAGGTTTGGGTTTTGTTTAATCTCATTTTTCCAACAAAACTGTACAATAGCACAATTCACAGACATAGAGAACTTATGGTTACGAGGGGGTAAAAGGGGTGGGAAAGGATAAACTGGGAGTTAGAAATTTGCAGATACTAACTGCTATACATAAAATAGATAAATGACAAGTTTCTACTGTATAGCACAGGGAACTATAGTCAACATCTGTAGTAACCGCTAATGAAAAAGAATGTGAAAAAGAATATGTGTATGACTGAAACCTTGGGCTGTACACCAGAAATTGACACATTGTAAACTGACTATACTTCAATTAAAAAAATTTTTTGAAAAAATTGTACAACAGCACAATCTAACACTTTTCACTGCACACTTACTTCTTGCAGTGCCTCATAAATACAATTACTCTTCTTCTGAAGTGCCCACCCTACAACCTCAAAAATCTTCTCTTCAGTTGTCAGCAAGTCTCCCCGCAGCCATGGCTGTACCAGGGGACGGGAGCCGTTTCCTAACAGCATCCTCATCCACTTCACCAAATCCTGCAATTTACGCAAGACTTATACCTGTACTTTGTAGCCAGTTGTTGGATGTACAGCCAACAATCAAAAAGACTCAGGGGATGGCAGGACCCCAGGGGTTCATGGGAGAAGAGGGAGGTCCGTGTGAGTGAAGGAATTTTCTAAGTCTTTCTACCAATGACTTTGTGTTAATGGCGTTTGCTTTCCTCCCCAACCTCAGTAACTGTGGTGACTCAGATGAATGATTGGTGTGTATTTGTTTAATTTACTGCTATTCTCAAAACACTTAACATTTCTTTTGGATATGTCCTCAGAAACTGCAGCTTCTAACTAATTAAAAGGATACTGTTTTTTTTGAGGGGGGGTAGATTGATTGATTTTTAAAGGAGGTACTGAGGATTGTATCCAGGACCTTATGCGTGCTAGGCACGCGCTCTACCACTGAGGTATACCCCCCACCCCCCACCCAGGGAATGAGTTTTTTGAAATAGCCAAGTATAATATGGAATCCAGTCTGATGAGTAAATTGTGAAACTCAAACTTCACTGGACATGAAGCACAGAGGCTGAGTTTCCTGTCACTCACACTGGTTCTAGAGATAACTCAGAGTTGGTAGGCAGACCCACAAATATGGACAAGCGGTGAAGTTTTCATTTGCATTTACCCCATAAATGAAAAACTACGCAACAAGAGATGCAGTGAGCGCTCTACAAGCCAGCAAGCAGATTTTTCATCTTCTCAAATACTCAGGAAGGAAGAAAAGGAGGAAGGGAGGGAGGGAGGGAGGGAGGGAAGAAGGAAGGAAGGAAGGAAGGAAGGAAGGAAGGAAGGAAGGAAGGAAAAAGAAAAGAAAAAAAGAAACCTACTGCCCCTTCACCAAAATCAATTTCAGGAGCATAAAATGGTTTTTCTCCCACGTAGATGAGAATGGTACTCCTTACTCTTAACTTTTAAATTCTACAAGGAGGCTAAGACCCCGCCCTCGTCTGTTATCCGGCACTAACCCACAGCGGCCGCGGCGCGGTCCAGCTGCCTCTGCCTCAGGGCCCTGAGCCGGGCGGAGAGCTTCTGAAACACGACGTAGAGAAGGATGCAGCTGAAGACGATGTACCAGCCATAGGTGGCCAGCAGGGAGCCCACTGAAAAGAAGAACACAGTTTTCAGGAAACTAAAAACGATACTCCCTCCGGACTTCTATAAAACTCAACGAAAGCAAAAGCAGCGCAGCTCCCGCCCTGAAAACCTCAGCGGTCGAGCGAAGACCTCCCAGGCGGGCGGCTAGGACGGTGAGAAGCGCCGCCGTCCGGGGTCCCTGAGAAGGAGCTTCTCGACCACCTGTCCAGAGGACGTGGGGCCGCCAACTGGGTTCTGAGGGGACACGGATCGTGGATGTGACTCGGAGGGCAGAGGCCCTTCAGATCCGGGAGACATACAGAAAGGCGTGGCCGTGGAGGCTGACACCGCGCCGGCGACCCCGGTCACCGCAACCCGGAAGGGCTTCGCACAACTAAAGGACTCGCGCAAAGAAGGCCGCAGGCGCCGCGCGGACCTGAGTGCGGCTCCCGGAGGCCCACCGCCCGGCCCGGCGCGCAGCGGACAACCCACCCACACGGCGCGCGAACCCGCTGCCCTGTGGCCGCGGCGACCCACCCGTGACGTGGAGGAAGCGCAGCCCCTCGGTCTCCAGGGCCGGCCGCGCGGACAGCTCGTCCCCGTCCGCCTCCATGGTCACCGCCGCTCAACCCGGCCTGGCCCGGCCCGGCCCGGCCGCGTCAGCGGGAGCGTTCGCCTTCCGCCCCGCCCTACGTACACGTGGCGCGCCGGGGGCTGGCGTACGGCGTTCCGGCCAATCGCGTCTCGACCCGGCCCAGACGGTCGGCCTATCGCAACGAGGGCGTGGCCGAGGGGCGGGGACAGTGGAGGGCGGGGCGAGCAGGGCGGGGATGAGCCCCACCAACTGCCGCGCACCTGCTCTCCTGGTGTCCTCGCCGAGGCTGCTTGGTTGACCTCCTCGCCGACTCCTTACCGAATGTTTACTTTTGCAGTGATTGGACACAGAGGTCTCCGGGGGTTGGGGCCGCCTGGAAACAGGATTTGCACCCACACCGTTGTTCAGGTCGATTGGGCAACAGCTCGGCAGTTTGGCGACTCCCAGACTTCGGTGGTTGTGGCCAAGGCCTGCCCACCAAGGTGCCAGGAAAGCCCCCCTCCCACCCCCGTCCCCGCGATTCCTGCACCCAGAATCAAAACCTCTTGGGAAAGAATTACCGTCACAGTGGCTCCAACACACACTGAATCTTCCTAAGTGTCACAAGTCGTTATCACAGTTAATAGAAGTCCTGGCTGTGCTCTCTGCCTGCAATGCCCTCCTCCACCCTCTTCCACCCCTCACCTGTCACCGCCGCTCTGAGCCTTACCTTAACCACCTTATCGCACCTTGAGGCATTTTGGAGGAGGATTTGAAGTGAACGTACCCAGCTGTGTCTCAAAAGAAGGGCTAAGAATTAGGAATGCAACCTAATAAGTAAGGAGCAGGGTGTGATGTCGGAGCGCACCGCCGCGCAGCTGCAGGACCACGGGGTGCCCACCGTAAGTTTGCCCATAAGTTCCTCGGGCGGGGATGGGGGGGGGGGCAGCTCGGAAGACCGCACCACAACCTCTCCGGCGACACGTGTCAGAAAGCAATAAAAGAGGAGATCTGCACTGAAGGACTTGAGCTCATGGGCCATGGCAACAACAACAACAACAACAACAACAACAAAAAGCCTGAAAGCTCTTCATCTTGAAAATGGGTTCCTCAAATCGGGAAATTGAGGACTCTGGATTTTATCAATTTAACATTGTGAAGATGGCCATTGATCTGCTGAGTTTAGGAGGGATTTTATTTCCTCCCTCTTGATGTTTTCCCCCTCGCGTGTAAAAGATACTTAGCTCTATCTTTTGAGGTGGTTTGTCACGTGCTCTGGCAACTTGCATCCTAAGAGAGGAATGATGGTTGGGATGTGGACAATAATTAATTGAAAGTTTGCAGTAGCAACGTGCTAAAATGGAAACTTTTCTTGTGGTTACAGTTGCAATACTCGGTCTGGGAACAGCTTTAAAGATACCTTGTATGTAAAATCCGATGAACTAGTCATAATGACCAGGGTTACCTGACCTCTTTGGTTATATACTCCGGGCATTGGGCAGACTGTCCTGGGGTCACTGTTCATGGAATTAGTTGGTTAGGACCTCTCAGAGAGTTAATACTCTGATTAGGGACTGGCACAATTGCTTGGGAGCAGTTTATTTTTATACGGTAACTTAGTGGTTATGATTGCTGGTGGCTTGGATTAGCTAAGACAGTTTTTAACAGACAGTTCCCTGCCTTAACAAGAGGTGTCAGATTAAGATGTGAAAGCCTCAAGAATGTTTCAGTGTGATATTCAATGTGACCATCACTTCAGAGTTCACAGTGTCGTTCAGGAATTAAGATACCTGGAGTAGCCATGGAGGAAGATCTCACACTGCAAAGATTTGCTGCTTTCAGAACAAGTCAATGAGCTGTCAATGAATTAAGTCAACCTGTGGATCATAAAAATGTCAAAATGCTCGGGGGTGGTAGAGGGTGGGAAGGGATAGACTGGGATTTCAAAATTGTAGAATAGATAAACAAGATTACACTGTATAGCACAGGGAAATATACACAAAATGTTATGATAAATCACAGAGAAAAAAATGTGGAAAAAAAAAGTCAAAATGCTGCATCTGGTTAAATGGGAGAAAAGAGACTGCTTTACTTGCCGTTTCTGCCCACCCTGACCTATAATGTTTTTAATCATGAAGATGGAACAAACTGTAACATTTAGTTTCCAGCATTTAAACACACATAGTGAACAATCTGTCACTCAGGACTTTGTGATATAGAAACCAGCACAACACTGATGAAAAATAATGGACATTTAAAACTTACACAAAGTGCCTTTGTATATATACTATTGTGAACTACAGTGTTTGTGTGTGTGCATATGTACACACATAAAATGATGAATAGTGTGCTGAACTGAAATTTAACAGATTTTGAATGATTATGTTACTAGAGAGTAGGTTCTTATCTTGTCACTGAAGGAATTCAGAGATGAGACACAGAGGTCAGGAAAGTAAAGTGGGGATTTATTAAGGGATAGGACACACTCAGGTGGGAGCGGGCAAACTCAGGTGAGCAGCTGCCCTGAATTTCTTTGGTAAAATGGTTACACAGGGTGTAGAAATGAATGGGTGGGATATTCGTTGTGGAGGGAGGGGTTTGGGGGTTATATTCCCTGACTTTCATCCCAGCTCCACCTTCCCGAGAGGAGGAGGGATTTTTGTCCTTATTTAGTCTGGATCAGAAGTGTCACAGCGTCAGGGCATGATGGATACTTCTAATCTGCAAGGCTAATTTTACTGAAAATGAGGGCATAATGAGCAAATGGTTACATTTAGACATTGGAGATTCATGCCTCTTCCCACCTTTGTCAGCCTCTAGGCCACTTGTCACCCCAAAATGTGTGATTTCTTATCGGTCTGGAGATTCCTGCTTTTCTCTGCCCAAGGATCCCCGTTGTTCACAGGATGTGTGGTTTCCTGGCCCCTGGCCCGTGCCCCAATTCCTGGGCTCATGTCCAGCTCCCTGCCTGCTCTAACAACTGCAGCGCATGGATGCTGGGCTTTCTCTGTTCCTTGCACACTGCTGGTCTCATGGTCCCACTGATGGAGGGTGCTCACTGTTCCTAGCCAGACTGATGTTACCTTTGTTCCTTTAGTCTGTGTATCATCTCACCCAGCTGGTCTAGAGCCATAAAGTTATTTCAACAAACACTTTGCTCAGTACAGCTGTTCAGGTATTATTATGAGAAATAGGACAAAGGTCCCCAGAATGCCCAACCAGTCACTGGCCCTGGTAGACTACACAGTTGGCCCCAATCTGTCACTCCTGGCAACCACACCCTTGCTGTCTGCTCAAAGTAGTCTATTTCCCGGTCCTTTGACTTAGTTTCATTTTGGTTAATGGCAAGAAAGAAGTAACAGTGTGTCAGTTTTGAGTGTAAGCCTTAAGAAGTCTCTCTAGTGGTTCCTTTTTGTGCCTCTCCCTGCTTAACTAAATCACCCGAGGAGAATGAAGGACGAGCCACCCTGGTTAATCCACAGACCCGCAGTGAAAGCAGAGGCAGCTATGAGAAGAAAGGGGAGCTGGTGCCTGAAATGAGCTCTGGGGTGGTTTGCTCTGCAGCATTACTGGGGCACCAGCTAACTGACAAATTGCCAAACCTCAGCTTTTCCCGAAAGTACACACAGCAAGACAGGACCAAAGGTACTGGTAACTAAGGAGATTACAGAGGCAATCTAACCACAGTGTTTCCTAAATTTGAAAATATAAAGACCTCTCAATGACATTCTTGTGGCCTTTAAATTATGTTAAATATGTACATAGATAACACTAAATACATTTTTCTTAAATGTATAGTTCTTATACCCTCAAGACCAGGGCACTTATTCATTACAGACAAATACTACCGAGCTAATAATAGTCAAATGAACATTGTAATGTAGTACCCCAGAAACAAGTTTCCTTTGTGTGTTGCACGACCACGTCACTGGTATAAAACTTTCTGCTACATCAAGACACACGTTATCCTGAAGGAACCCCCTGTTCTGCCAAACTGCACACTGACAATTCTAGGCTCCTAGGAAAGATTGGGTCTGAGTAAAGCCAATTCTTCTGGTCCCAACAGATGGAGGCTGAGTTCTGAGCACAGGAGCCCTCACTCACTTCCCTCTGGTCAAACGTACAACTGGGGAGAAGGTAAGTCAACTGCAACCAACTTGTTATCTCTGAGGCTACTGACCAGAGCCCCAGAGTTCGACCCTGTGGGGTGGCTCACAGATGGTGGGGGCAGGAGCCTCCTGAACGTGGTGGGGGTGGCGGCCCTGGATCTTAAATAAAACCCCAAACCGTTTTAGTTGTCCCATCAGAAGCAGAAGCAACAGGTAAGTGTGCACTGACAGAGAGGCTGTGTGGAAGTAGACAAGGTGGCCTCCCTGGCATGTCATGAAAGATGTTTTAGGAGCTGAATTCCAAACCAGACCAGGAAGAAAAAGAGCTTCAGAACCCCAAGTCCTTCTATTCTGACTCACACACATGCAGCCAAGTCCTCATTCCACAGGGCACCTGGGTGACAGGAAGGGAGAGCCTGCACTGCAGACAGTGAAGACGGGACCTTCCTCTGAAAGTCACCTAATGATAAGACTGCAGATCTGGTTTACCTCCTGGGTGTCTCAGTATCCCAGGAATTCATCTAGAAAAGTCATGCTCCAAGTCTGTCGAGGCGACGGTAGAATGAGAAGAGAGCAATCCCACCTGGTCTGGGCCTCGGGAGCACAGGGTGGGGGCTGCCCCTAATGGGGCTGAGGGGCGCCGGGCAGAAGTTCAGGGGTAAGCAGTGAGGCCACAACTCCGAGGGCTGTCCTCCGAGGGACAGCACCTTGGAACCTGCTGGAAGCAGAGCCTCGGGCCCCATCCAAGACCGCGTGCCTGCCAAGGCCCCCAGCAGGCTCGCAGCGCACCGGGGCGGGAAGGGCACTGGCTGAGGGCCCCGCTGAGGAACTCCAAAGGCTGGGGGCTCCCGATGCCCGCGCCCACTGCCCCCGTCTCCACAGGCTCCGCCAGGTCTCTCCTCTCAGCTGTGCTCCTGCCTCCCCTGCTGGACCGTCAACCCCTCCAAGGCAGAGTCCCTTCACCTTCTTCCCGGGGCCTACTGAGAAGAGCATTTCTCACATTTAGGATCACTAGGGAGCTTTAAAAAACCCAGATCAACGCCAGCAGGTGAGAAAAGACAGGTGCGAAGGCACCCTCCGCCGCCACCCCACTTTTCAGGTGGGCCCATGCTGGCCACGACAGGGTGCAGCGGAGGTGGGAGGGTGCCGGGGGCACCCGGAGCCACGTGGCCGCCGCGCCGCACCAACTCCATGCAGCCCGCGCCCCTCCACCTCCACCTGTCCTAACCCTGCTCCGTGCTGCCCCGCCGCTGGAGCCCCACTGGCTGACAGCAGGCGTTACAGTCACTCTCATCCCTTCATCTCTCCAGTCTGCAGTTTGCTGCTTGCGTGACGTTCGGATGCAGAGGAAAAGAAGAACTTCCAAGGATGCTGCGTCCCGTAAAGCCCTTGTTACTCTTCACACAGGAGAACACTCACTGGAGACCCCCAGGTCTCTCAGACCACGGCAGCACACAGACAGCCGTGGGTTTTACTCAGAACTGAAAAATCCGAACCCTTCCTGGAGGACGCCTACCTAGGGACGCACCCTCCTGCCTTTCCCTGAAACGCGCCCACGTGCCTCATGGCGCATACAGCCAATGACGTGCAAGCCAGCCGTGCCAGTGCCTTTATTTTTACTATTTGTAGAAAACGGGGATTTAGATTTCAAAGTTTATATTACAAAATTACCAGCAGCAGTTTGAACCAGTTCCATGGTGCTTATGAACTCTACTTTGCTGACAGAAACAAGGCTATTATTCCAAAAGCAGGACAGGACCTGTCCCAAGTGGGCCCACTCTGCATCCTGTAGACTCTGAGAAGCCACGCCACTCAGGACCCGTTGGTGACCGTGTCTTCTTCCATCTCCTCTTCACCGTCATCAGTGGGGCCTAGGGAAAAAAAGCCAGGGGTCACACTGACCTGAGAGCATGTGCTCGCCCCATGTGCGTGCGTCTACCCCGTGGGGCTGCTACAGGCTAGGCCTGGGACTAGGTACAAAAGCCAGAGAGCAGCCCCTGCCCTGAGCACCTGGGAGTCCAGAGACCACCTGTCTTGGCAGGTATGGGAAATTAGTTCCTAAGGGAAAGGGTCACGAACTTAGAAAGTCATACCTGTTGTGTGTCATTCTAACCCACTGTGGTCAAGCTAATTCGGTTTTTGTGAGGATGGAAAGCTTATACTTTGTTTTGTTCTTGCCACTACTACGCGCAAAGAAACTAGAGGAACACTTAGAACGCCTGGATACCTACTACGTGCCAGATACTGGGAATAGTTATTGACTTTACTGTCTCTACGCTAGGAAAAATATGGCAACAACAACCAAATGGCTGTCATACACTTTTTTTTCGTGGGGGGATTAGGTGTATTGATTGACTGATTGGTGGAGATGCTGGGGATTGAACCCAGGACCTCATGCATGTTAGGCAAGCCCTCTACCACTCAGCTATACCCTCCCCCCTCCAAATGGTTGTTATATTTGTCAACAATTTATTGCAGATATTTGAGTCGGTGTATTCTAAAAAAGGAAATGTTTTAACCCTGTCAATGTTTGGGAAAATTACTCATGTTTGAGCCTACTGTTTATACAGCTGGACCCAAAAACATCACATTTCAAGACACACAAACTACCAAGAAAGAAAATCACTGGGAAGTGCCCCTCAGAAGCCCGGGCCTGCTGAGATCCAGAGAACCCTCTCCTCAGCGTGCTCCGTGTGTGCTCAGGTAAGGCCCAAACAGAATATTCTAGGGGAAGCACGTTAACTCAGAAATTCTGTCATCCTGCAGTCACAATAAGCAATTTGACGTTGTGTTCCCCCCACCCTGTCACCATTGAGCCTTGAAAGCCTTCCATGGACTTCTTTTGTTCTGAGGACCCCAGACCTGACCCACCATGTGGCCTGCAGTGCCCTGGCTCACGTCCTCACTGTGGCCCATCTGGCAACACTGCCTGCATCCCTGGCCCTCCGCTCACACTGTGCTCCTCAGATCAAGTGTGTGAGGCTCCTTAACCACAAGTATCTTGCTGGTGTGGTTTCCTCCCCACTAGAATGCCCCTCTGCCTTTATCAAACAGTTCTCAAATATTTTACTTTTAGGACCCAAACAGCTTCTGTTCAAGTAGATTACATTTACCAATACTGTATTAAAAATTAAGAGTATTTTAAGAAACAGTAAATCTAATACATGTTAATACTTACAATTTTATAAAATATAACAGTATTTTCTAAAGCAAACATCTTTAGTGAGCAGGCTGGCCTCACTATCTATTTCTGCCCATCTCTGTAGTGCCTGGCGGACAGCAGGCAGCTGGACCCTCATTTGGACTCATCGTTCCCCGGCTACACGATGTCGTTCTGACCGAAGGCTAGAGGGAACATGAGCCTCGCACAGACAGGTGATTAGGAAAGGGACGGGTATTTTCGTGGCCTCCACAGACAGCTGTAGATGCCTCCTGTCACACCAGGCCCTAGATGGCAATGTGCAGTCAGAAAGCTCATCACTGAACGTCACACACGCTCCAGCGTCGCCTTGGAAAACACTGGGTCGCTAAGTCACATGGATTTTCAAATGCTGACCCATTTCATTACACCGTGTCCAAAAAATCACATTCATGAATACCAACACTTTCCACAGGAAAAGTCCAGAAGTCCTGGGAAACTATCAGGTTACAGTTGTAGATAAAAGTTTTCCAACCTCTAATTTTTGCCTGAAGTTCTGAGTATCATCATTGGTAACAGGCACCATGAGCCATTCTGATGTGACAAGCTCACTTCACTTCCTGCTGGAGAAGCCACCTGCCTCGAGGGTGGAGCAGGTGCACGGTGTGGGCAGACAGCCCCGCCTGGGTGCAGAATGCTCTGTGCGCTGGACTCCATCCCCTGGATCTCCAGAGAGACGCCGCGCATGGGGCGGTAGTTAATAGCACTACTAGTCGTCACTGCCTCAGGAAGGACATTCCTAAGCAAACCTGTACACAGTTCACTGATGGCGGAGTACACGGCAGTGTAGAATGACGCCTAGCAACACCCTTCGGTCTGCCCTGACCTGTGCTGAGGCGCCAATTTTACCCAGCCTTGCTTTTGCACCAGCAGGTACAAGTGTTAATACCATTAAAGAAAAAAAAAGCAAATACACCGTGGTGTTAATATAGGAAGTTTTCCTTCCAAATCCCAGGGGCCCAAGGACCACACAGTGAGAACCACAGGTCTAGTGAATGTCTTACTTGTTTTTTAGCTTCAGTTCACACATTATCTCCCCCAGGAAACCTGCCCTGAGCTGCTGGTCTAGTTAGAGGTCCCCAGTCACGTTCACACCAAAACCTGTAACACGCATGACTGGGGTAGCCTCACTCTCTACCCCAGCGCCCAGCACGCCATCTGACACGACTGTCAGGACAGCTGACACTTCCAAGGCCCTGGCCTGTGCTATGTGCTGTCCACGCAGGGTCTGCTCGGCGCCCCTGTGACCTCGTGAGGTCGGCACTATTACCGTCTCAGCTTTAAAGATGAGACAGACAATTAAGTGGGGATTAAGAAAGTTACCCAAGGACAGAGCTTGGCCCAGGTGGAGTGGCTCTGCAGCCTGTGGCCCCGCCCATGAGGCAACCCGACACGTGCAGCGGCAGAAGGCCTTGATTCGGTCTCACTCGATGGCTGTGAAATAACATCTGCTTCAACTTTTACATATAAAAACCCCATGGCGTAACACTGTCACATGATTTCTCTTCAAAGTGTGTTTAAAGGGACTTTGTGTACATTAGGTTAGATGGTCACAAGGCACGACCCTAGCAATCCTGGATCGGGACTGGCGCGGGGTCACTCGAGTGTGCTCTCACTTTGGAAGTACAAAGACAGAACATCGTTTCCTGACCTGCTCTGCGCTCTCTGCCGGGGATCTGGCCGGACTGCAGCAAGCCCTTCAGCCGCTCCACCTCAGCCAGGGTTGACGCGTTCGCTATGGCGCTCTGGATGGCAGAAGACAGTGCAGATGACAATTACTTTATCTACTTATATCGGCCACTGAGAAAACACTTAGAGAAATTCACACCATCTTTCCAAGCTAGAATATTAAATAGTTCTTTGTTGGGGGAAGAATTTTACTGGCACACTGAAATCAACCCAAAAGCCAAATCATAAATTTCCCAAATTGGTAAAGAGATGCAGAACCTCTTATAAGAGAGCAAATAATCACTGTATGTGTCCTAAATTTTCACCTAACTGAAGTACCTACTTGGAATTATGCTACTGGATACTTTGGGAGACAATATTATAAAATGAGGATTTCTCATCAAGCAGGATCTTTCAGACAGCAAATCTTTGGAAGTAAAAACTAAGGCAACATGCAATGGTCACTGACTGTTCAAAAAAATGCATGCTGGGAAGATGAGAAAGACCAGCGCTGCCCCGACTTTGACCGACTTGTGTAATTAATTCCAGTCAAAGTCTGGTCATACAAAAATATAGCTTGTTCCTCATACAAAAATATAGCTGGATTCTCCCAACTGTGAGGAGAAGCTGCAATGTCTGACATATCACTTGGTACATTACATACTCTTGTTTCTTGAACCCGTAACAGCTCACTTCAGTCCAAGAACCCTAACACATCCCTACCTTTTTTTCTTTTAACTTTTTGTTGAAGTCTAGTTGACTTACAATGTTAGTTTCAGTTGTGAATTACACAGCAGTGACTCAGTTATACATATATATATGTATATTTACTTTCTTTTCAGATTCTTTTCCATTATATGTTATTATAAGAAACTGAATAGAGTTCCCTATGCTCTACTGTAGGTCCTTGTTGTTTATCTATTTTATATACAGTAAACATATTACTACCTTGATTGCTTCCACATCCCCTGGAGACGGCCCACCTTTCTTCTTGTCAGTTGGCAAACCGGCACCTGGATTGAAACTTGGGAGGGGAGGGAAGAACAAAACTGTCAAATCCAGACCAACAGAAACTGCTTCTCTTTTACTTTCAAAAGCTTTTGAAAGTAATTCAACCAGTGTAGTATCTTATCTTTGTTAACAAACTGATACGATAAACTCTCTCCTTCAGAAACACCACCCCGTTCATCTTCCCAGAAAGGAGGATGTGGGTAACATCACAGTAAGGCTGGACACTGCAATATTTGCTCTGCTAACCTGGAAGAAATTTGATGTGACCTACAGACCACTGATGGTCATAGCGGATCATCACGCAAATTTACTGCTATGTGATTGCAGGGCTTTTGTTTCTTTCTGCAGGAGGCAAAATGCCAGACAGACAGTGTTTCTGAAGGGGAAGTGGAGTGAAGTCGGATACCCGGATCTTACGTTTTGCTCCTCCTGGCAATATCCTTTGCAAGCTGTGCACCCCGTTTGCCCTTGAACATTTTCTCTGCCTCCTGACGCTCCTACAGCGACACCACACACAGAGTTAATGGACACAGGAATACCACGTGCATTGAGATGCATTCCTCAGAAAAACACGGAAGAAAACTCTCCTGAAACACTCTGGGCTGGTAAAAATATCAGAAGCCCATTTCCAGTTCAAAGGAGACTCAGGGGTCTTGCCTTCTCTGGGAAAGCTCCCTGAGGAAAGTTCCCACTCCTAGTTTTCAAGGAGGGGCTCCCAAGGAACTAAGAAAGTTTAAAAAAAAAATCTCCCCATAAGGGGAAAATCATTCCAACAATTAAAGCTGCTGAGGATGGGTTATATTAAGCTCCCCAAAGGGAATGTTTCTAAGCAGACAGCCTGCTGGGGAGAGTGCTCACTGTGGCCCTGAGACCATGCTACCTCTGAAATCACCAATACCACGTAAGACAGCTTTAACTCCGAGTCCTAGCCTAAACTCTGCTATGAAAAAAAAACTGCCTAACATGTCCCTCCCACCACGCACATTTTTATCAGAAACCAAAGACAAAACTCATTGGGCAAATTTACAAAAATCAGTAACAAAAGTATAAAGGAAAACACACCAATCTATAGTGACTTACAACAGAACAATACTCACTTTCAGTTTCACCTTCTGGAAATCCAGCACTCTGACTTGTGGAACTTTATAAATTACATATAGTCTGTAATGCTTCTTGTTTGTTACAGGATTTCTTAGAATACTACAAGAAAAGGAACAATATAATGCCAATCTTGTTCATAGCACAGCATTCAAGAGGTTCGTTTTAATAAAATCTAATGAGTCCCTGAATTAAGGAAAAGTTCACTATTCTCCACATTTCAGGGTCATGACAACTTAACACTAGGGAAATTTTAATCGAGCACTGGGCCCAAAGGAAGTATTTTCAATATTTGTTATTTAAAGGTACTTTTTACTAACTGATTGCTTTAAGATCAAGGCTGGTAATGGTGTTACTTTAAGGGACTTCATTGTCACCACAAATAACTTCCTTACCTTAGATAAGTCAGTGATTTGAGAGATGCCAAAGGGTCCAGGTCACCCTGTAAAGTAACAGCCACTGGTAAGAACACGGATACTGCATCCTATTCTGATACTTAGAGATGGTGGATGCCTTTGGAGCAAGGACTTGTCTTTTGTTTATTTATTTATTTTTTACTGCTCCAGCACGTAGCACAATACTAGCACATCATGATGTATAGATGCTTCATAAATTTTTACTGAATAAACTAGTTAATGAATTTGAGTTTTCTTAAGCTTAAAATCTTGGCTGTAACAGTTTCTGTCTCAACAGAAGAGACCCAAAAAAGTTGATTTCCTGTAGCAAGCTCAAAAGGGCTACTGATTTTAAAGCAATGATTTAGATAAGTCAGCAATGTGAAAGCTGACATAAGTTGGGAACAAGTTAACTCATACAGGGAACCTCAGGCCTGGATCTTGCTGTGAGGTGGTGTTTCCTGCTAGTACCTTTGGTGCTGGGAGCAACACTGGCACGTCATATTTGAGGGAAGGTACCTTTATCTAGGCTACTCTCAATCTCTTCAAATACATTTTTCAAGGACAAGGAGTTAAAAAAAAAAAAAAGGAGGGAAGGAAGGTTAGTTTTTCAATCTTCCCCGACTGTCGCATAAAACATGGTCCAACAAGGATAGAGAAACCAAAAATCTCTGGTCAACAGCTACAACCCAACTAGAGGAAGAGGTATTGTGGCAAGAACCTAAAACGGGCACGCAAGGACAAACTACTGTGAAAGCTACGAGACTCGCATGGTGACAGCGTTTGTACAGGAAGACGTCGAGGGAAGGCAGAGGCATCCGACAAACCCCCAAACTTTAAAGTGACCAACAGGCACACAGCTTGAGAACCACAGCCAAAGAATAGGCACAGCCACCAATGGGCACCCTAAGAGTGTGACAAGTACTGAAGGCCTTTGGGCCTTCACTCTTTTAATGCTAATCAGAAATTAAACCGCCCCTACCCCTGTCCCCGAACAGAGCCCTACACAGAGGAGAAACTGCTAGGACCAGATCTAAATGGCACAGGACGGGCAAGAGGGGCATGAGAAAAGAAGTTCAGACAGAAGCAGGGAGGGGAACAGGGCCCGTGGCTCAGACAGCTGCCACCTGTCAACACTCCACTACCCGAGGGAGCGCCTGAGCTTGTGACCCACCTGCCATCACTCCAAGAAATCTAAAGAATGACCCAAAAGGAACAAAGGAGGACAAATATTGCATGACCTCACTTATGTGTGGAGTCCCACTTATCGTAATGAGGGTGGAATGGTGGTTACCAGAGGCTAGGGGACAGGGGACAGTGGGAGGTAAGATATTGACTAGGGAGGAGAAACTTTCAGTTATAAGATAAATAGGTTCTGGACTTAATGTACAACATAGTGACAATAGTTAAAAATAGCACATTGTATTCTTGATTTGATTAAAAAAAGTAAATTTCAAGTATTCTAACTGCATACATGAAAAGATGACTGTGAAGTGATGGATAGTTAATCTGTAGCAATCATTTCACAATGTATACATATATCAAAATTCACATTGCACTCCTTAAATATATGTTTTTTGTTTGTCAATCATACCTCAATAAAGCTGAAAAAAAACAAGAAAGGAATAATGGTAACTTCTGTCACACACACACACATATATACAGACTGTAAAACAATGATGTCTTGATGAGGGTGAAATGTTTAAGGCTGCTACATTATTTAGGAGGGGTAAAAGTACTGGTTAACTTTAAACTTAGATAAATAGGTGTATTTTAACTCCTAGGATTCTAAGAACAGAAACAGAGTCTATTTAATAATTAGTTAATTTCTAAACTATTAGAAGGGAAAATGGAATGATAAAAAGAGAGAGAGCAATAAAGGAGAGAAAAAGGAATGCAGATGGATGGGACAAATAAAAAATTCTAGAAAAGAGAGAAGACCAACTCAAATATACCAGTAATTACACTAAATATAAACAGACTATTTCATTTAAAAGACAGATTTCAGACTGGATTGAAAAAAAAAGAATCCTATCATATGCTGTTTTCAAGAAACAAATTTAAAATATTTAAGTACAGAAAAACAAAAGTAAATTTTGGACGGAAAAAAATTATGCAAATACCAATTGAAAGACAGCTTGTTTTGGTACAGTGCAGCAGATAAAACGGACATCCAGGTAAAACAGCACTCAGAGAGAGGGTCACAACATATGATAAAAAGCTCACTTCACCAGTAAGATACATAAAATTTGTAGATATCTCATAAGATAGCCTAAAGATAAATAAAACTACAACTGACAGAATGCCAGGGAAATAGTCAAATCCACTGTCACGTAAGATTAGGACAAATGGCCTCTATCTTCACCATCACCTTTATGCAGTGACATGTGTCATGCCACAGCTTCCTAATCAATGCACACTCTGGGTTCTACACCTCATAGTTTAGAAAGGCATATCCCCTGATCAGTACTTTCTTACTTTTGGAGTCAAGTACTCCTGTGGGAATCTGAAGGAAGATACAAACCCAGTCCACCAGGAGAGGAATGCTCAGGGAAACAGGGACGACAGGATTAAGGAAGAATAACCTAAAATCGAGTTATATAATATGGACTTACACATCTAATATTTAAATGAAAAATTCAGGTTACAAAACAATTTACTCAAGCTATGTATAAGCTCAAATTTTGTTAAAAATTATACACACAACTGAAATTTAAAAGGCATAAAAAGAAAGAGATCAAAATAAGCAGATCCAAACAGAGAAAATGAAACTTGCCCCCTTATCTCATAGGAAAATCAACTTCAAGTGGATTGTTGCTTTCAACATGGAGTAAAACAACAGATTCTAGAGTGAAACTGTCCAACAGAATTTAATATATGCACAAAAGTAATTTTCTGGTAGCTACAGTAAAACAGAACAGGTGAAAGTAAATTTAATAACACACTGTTTAACCTATTTCCCCAAATATTATCATTTCACTATCAATATATGAAAAGTATTGATAATTTACATTCTTTTTTCTGGGTGCTAAGCCTCTGGAATCTGTTGTGTATTTTACAGTTCTAGTACATCTTTTTTTTTTTAAACTTTTTTTTTAATTGAAGTATAGTTGATTTACAATGTTGTGTTAATTTCTGGTTTACAGGGAATCATATATATTATATATATATTATATATATACACACACACACACACCTCTATTTTCCTTTTTATATTCGTTTTCAATTCAGGTCATTACAAAGTATTGACTATAGCTATCCATGTCATACAGCAAGACCTTGCTGTTTATCTATTTTATACATAGTAGTGTGTATCTACAAATCCCGAACTCCCAAGTTCTAGTATATCTTAATTCAAATCAGCCACTTGTGGCTAGTGGCTACAATATGGGACACCGCAATTCTAGAAAACAGCACAGATGAGTTTCTTTTTGACCCTGGGGTGGTGGAAGCTTAACAGACAACCAACCAAAAGAGCTAAAAACAAGAAAAAAAGATCGATAAAGTGGACTACACTGAATCAGGAAATTCTCTATTAAGACCTCAAACAACATAATCCAAAAATGGGCAGAAGATCTAAACAAACAATTCTCCAATGAAGACATATATATGGCCAATATGCACATGAAAAAATGCTCAATATTGCTAATTATCAGAGACATGCAAATCAAAACTACAATAAGGTATCACCTCACACAAGTCAGAATGGCCATCATTCAAAAGTCCATGAACAGTAAATGCTGGAGAGGGTGTGGAGAAAAAGGAACCCTCCTACACCGCTGGTGGGAATGTAAATGGGCGCAGCCATTATGGGAAACAGTATGGAGATTCCTCAAAAAAACTAAAAATAGACTTACCATATGACCCAACAATCCCACTTCTGGGCATACATCCAGAAGGAACCTTAATTCAAAATGAGACATGCACCCCAATGTGCATAGCAGCACTATGTACAATAAGCCAAAACATGGAAACAACCTAAATGTCCATCGATAGGTGACTGGATAAAGAAGCTGTGGTATATTTATACAATGGAATAGTATTCAGCCATAAAAAAGAATAAAATACCATTTGCAGCAACATGGATGGACCTAAAGAATGTCATTCTAAGTGAAGTAAGCCAGAGAGAGAAAGAAAAATATCATATGATTATCACTTATATGTGGTATTTAAAAAAAAAGACAAATGAACTTGTTTACAAAACAGAAACAGACTCACAGACATAGAAAACAAACTTACGGTTACCAGGGTGGGAGAAGGGTGGAAAGGGATAAATTAGGAGCTCTAGATTTGCTAGATATACAACAAGTTTATACCGTATAGAACAGGGAACTATATTCAGTATCCTATAGTAATCTATGGTGAAAAAGAATATGAAAACAAATATATGTATGTTCCTATATGACTGAAGTATTGTGGTGTACACCAGAAATTGACACATTGTAAACTGACTATACTTCAACAAAAATATATTTAAAAAAACAAACAAAAAAACCCTAAGAGAGTCAAAGGGTGAGCTAGAGCATGGAACACTGTTACAACACATAACCAAAAAGGCCCAGACACTGAATTAATGAAGAAAAAGACAAAGAAAAAGGATGGTGAGATAATTTTCTGGATTTTGCAACTTCTCTATAAGGGGCACGTGGTACCTTTAACCCCTCCCCCCAAACACACTTTCCCCCGGATCCTCTTACCAGTTCCACCAGACTGTTGTTGGTGAGAATGAGTTCTGTCAGGCAGGGCAGCGCCTGATCAAGTCCTTCACCTATGCGGCTGCAATAAAAATAGAGACTCTGAGAAAAAGGGAAAATTACGTAAGCTAACAATTTTATCTGGTCCCTGACCAGAGGACTTCAGACTTCAAAGTGGGCAGAACTTAAGAGATCTTTCTTCCAACACCCTCTCCGACAGAAGGAAATCAAGGCACAAAGAAGAAACTGCCTGGGGTCACAGAGGCAACAGAAGAGGGTGTGATTTTAGAACCCACGCCTCCTGACAGCTGCCCAGGGCTCTTTCCACTGCCACACCGTCTAATGAAACCCATGGAAAGGAGAACCTCCGGTGTAGAACAGACCACTCGGCTCATCTCGTGACTTTTGTGCGGGTAGCAGGGAAATCAAGTGAAGCTGCATTCACAGCTCAGTGCAAGACACCCAACAATTAAACAGGACAGAATAGTTAATTCATGAGAAATCCGACTATTTAGAAAAAGCAACTCACCACCCACAACTTCTTGAAGACATCGTTTATAGACCTTAAATAACTTTTCTCTGATAATATTTACACAGAGACAATGAAAGAGGGTCCAAAAAACAAATCTCCATTTCAATAAGTAGTAGCCTAAAAATCAGTTGTAGTGAAAGAAAAACAGCAGACGATATGCGGTAGAATGAGATGTTGGGTCAAAAATATAACTCTTAAATTTTACATTATCTTTTTAATATGACCTTTCTGACAGTGATAATTATCACTTTAGAAATAAGCCAAAATGAGTGCAAAGAAGCATGTTATTAATTTAAACCAGAAATTTACCGTGAATATATAAATACCCAAGATTTCTGAATAGACACAGATAAGACTACAGCAATGCCAAATTAATCTCTGGATCTGTGTAGGAAACGTGCAGCTCAATTCTCATTTCAGAAGAAATCAAGCAGCTTTAACCAGCAGTATGCACTACAACTTCTTCAGGGAACTCTGCAACGTTTACTCTAGGGGAAAAAAAATTACTTTCCACTAGTAGACACTTACCATATTCTATTGTTATTCACTAATAATGTTTTCAGTCTTCTCAATAAAGGAAAACCATCCAGTTTCCTGATTTCATTGTCAGAAAAATCAATCGCATCAAACTGGTCTAAGGTTGCACCTAGGTTTTCAATGACAGGAATTTTATACCCTGTGAAAAGGAGCGGAAAAAAATCATCCGAGGATTAATATAGTTAAAAGGTACCTTCAAACATTAGCAGCATTTTATGGTAATGGGAACAAAGCTTTCATTCATTTGGGAAGTGTCTACCTAGCACCTGTGCTGTGTGTGCCAAACACTGCAAGGTACTGGCGCCTAAGACCAGGAACAGGACAATCACATGCCCCAGCTGCCACTAAGTCAAGGGTCCAGCGGTGATGATGACAGGACAGGACAGTAAGGATAAGACTACTACTGACAGTAATATTGGTGGGTAACATTTCTGAGACTATTTACAAGATGCCTCACACCGCTCTAAGCGAAGCCCACAGCTAGTTCAGCGGCAGAACAGGAACCTGCACCGTGAGCTGCTTACTGCCAGCGTCCAAGCCTGGCTCACGTATTGTGGACAACAGTTCTCCCCCTCTTTTGCATTCCCACAGGACAGATGCATGGAACTAACTTATCAGGACACCTTCGTGATATGACGACAGTTCCCCTTACTTCACCTCCCCTAGTGCCAACCCAGAGTTGAAAGTCAGTGGTTTATACACAAAGGTAAGTCACCCTGTGAACAATTCACTCAAATACTCACTGATTTGTCTAATAGGGTACAACTATTGTGCTAGGTGCTAGAGGAAGTTGACCCAGCCACGGTTCAAGTACACAATTCATAGCCGTAAGGGATACGCCAAAGTAAGTGCTGTACCGAAGTAAGTGTCCCCAACACTGTATGCACTTGAGACCTTCCTGTGCCAAGACTGTAAAAGTGGCCCATTCCTCTTGAACGGAACCTTTCTCTGAGAAGCTGAATTCCAACAAGGGGCCAGCACCGGGCTTTGTCAGCAAGGAATCCAAGCAGAAAGCAGAGCCCGAAGCAGTGCTGCTCCTGGAACCCTGTTTTCCCTCCGGGAGCAAATCTCTGGTCAAGACCATACTGTCTTGGCCCCAGAGAAGCTGCTCCTCACACCCTCCCTGAAGCCGCCTCCTTGGATGCTCATGAGCTGCACTGCCAGTGCGTCACCGAGCCTCACTGAGGTCGGAACAGCTGCAGGAACCTCAGTAGTCTGGGAGCCTTCCCCACCCCTTACGCACGGCACCCGGCGGTGCGGGCCGGGCTGAAACAGGTAAGAGAGAAACAGACGACCGAAGCTGGTAAGCAGGAAACACGGGGGAAACAACCGCTTCTGGCCCCGGACTTCCTCTCCGCCCTCCCAGGGAAAGACTGCAGCACGTGCCGACACCCTCTAACGTATTCACTGCTCGGCACGAGGGTCACGACCACTAACAGAGCATCTACTGCGACGGCTCCAACGGGACACACGGCCGTCAAGCCCAACCGCGGCCCGCGACTCCGGGCCCGAAGCAGTCGAGGCGGCCCGAGCAGGCAGGAGCCGTGGGAAGACAAGCCTCGGAAGAGCCTGAGGGCGGTCTTCCGCCGACTACGGCGGTACTCGGGCAGGGCGGGCCTGGCGAGGCCCGGGTTGAGGCGGGACGCAGGCCCTGGGCGCACGCGGCTGGGCGCGGGACGACGGGAACGCCCCAGACCGGCCGCCCTCCGCACTCACCCCGGAGGTCCAGCTCGCGGTCCCGCACGGCGTTAGTGTACTGCGCCGCCTGCTCGATCAGCTCCGCCGTCAGCTTCACCATCCTGTC